TATATTATTTCAAATTTTATAATTATTTAAATTTGAAGAACCATTGCTTAATTACAATTTGGCCGGATTTAAATAGAACAAAACAATGATTATTACTCAAAATATTGTGTTTCTTGCATCAATTTAAAAAAAAATAGTGCATTATTAAATGTTGCGAAATGAATGGCATGTAATTAAATACTTTTCTATTTTTCTAAATTAATTTGTGTTTATATATATATATATATATATATATATATATATATATATTATCTAAAAAATTATAATTGTTTAAATTTAAAAAGCAATTGCTTTTGCAAAGCAATGAAAATTTAAGCAGATTGAAATAGAACAAAATATTGATATACAACTAAATTGAAACATGAATGGAAAGGAACATGGTGAAATGATTAATTGGATCACTTAAAAACAACTATAATAAAAAGTTGTCTAAAATGATGAAATTAATTAATAACAAGTATGAGTTCTTCACTCATCGCGCAATTAGACAGAAATGAACAACTAACACCATGCACCACATGATCCAAAGAGATGAATTCATTATTATTATTACTAAGCATGCTAAGATAAGTGATAAAAGTACTACTCACTGCCTGCAAATTGATATGAGTCTTCCGAACGTCATTTCTCCAACCTTTAACAAACACAACGCAACAGAAACTGACTTCTGAAATAATATTACAAAGGAAAAATCAGTGCACGGTGTACCGGTACAATGGCTCGTCCACCCGTCAATCTACCACTGACCGCCACCTAACTGTCGATTTAGGTTCGAATGCAAACAGAGGCGGTGGTAGGTTTTATTTCGATCATATAATGCAAAAATTGATAGAACAACAAGCCGTGGTGGGCTAGAGGAAATAGTCAGAGAGCTGGGTAAAGGATTCGTGAATGGAATAAAATTATTTTAGAACCGGCATTAAATTTTATTACAGTAGAACCTCGAATTTTTGCATGGTTAATGCTCCTGTTTAGTATATGTATGTAATGTAATCTAAGAAAATATATATGTACATAGTGTTAATTTCTTAATAAGCGTTGATTTTCATTAACATCTATGCATATATTTGTTATTTTTGATTAATACACAATATTATTCTTCATACATTCGATTATCCGGATTTTCGATTATCCGAATGCCCGATTATCGGGATTCTACTGTATATCCTATTTGGGAGATCAGAACATTATTTCTCGTATGCCAACCGTTGATAATTTTGCAACATGATTTTTTTTTTATTTATTTTTTTATTTTCTTATAAATTACAATCTGTCTAATTAAAAAGACATTGAGTAATTATTTTGACAAATAACATTAAATTGTAAAAGGAAAACCCAGTGGTTCGCCTTTTATTAGTGTGCTAAAATATATTATAATTTTGGTATAATGCAACATGATTTCATTATTAAAATTGCTTATGAATACAATTTTCTGAGATACCCGAAAAGATCTATACCAACTATAACTAGTTAAATTTGTATATAAATATTGGAATTATATTAAAGAAACTAATCAGAAAATTATTGGGTCTTTTTAAAAGGGGCCTTTTAAACTAACTCAAATTGACAATTTTATATTATTTGTATTTGTTGATTATTTAATAATAGATAGAAGCCGAGAATTCATTCCAGAATGTTTCAGAAATTGCGAGATTACTAATGTCAGCAAAATATTTGCTAATAATTTCTAATGATAAAATGTAAACAATTAATTAATTAGGAAAATTATATACTTTTAGTTAAAAATAAAATACGTATAAATTTTATTGGATAGAAAAGATGAATAGAGTAAAAAACAGAATACGAGCTCTTCATTGATACGATAATTAAATTAAAATAAACTAATGTGAATTGTTGGATTTCGCAAAAAATACTGAAAACAGGTTTTTCAGTAATATTATTCAGGAAATTTTTAATAACAAATAAATTATTGTAGTAGATTCTACTTACTACTACTTCTAATATTTTGTTCAGGCATGAAAATATATAAATGTATAATTTATTTCCGAATTCGTCACCAGCTTCTCTACTAATATACGACTACTGGTCAAAATCCAAATTTGGTCGAATCTCGTATGAAAACGATAGATAAGATATGCATTAAAATGTATGCATAATCATTTATTATTGATAAAAAATTAGAAAAAAAACAAATTCATATTTTTCTCAACTCATCATATAAAATTAAGTGATTGTAATAGAAAAATAACATACTTTGTTAGATTTAAATAGAATTAAAATATGTTATTCATCTAATAATGAACACATCAGAATGTATATAGGTAATTGAATTAGACAGACTGTTACAAAGACAAAGTGTATGAAGAGTCTGAATACACTTAAAAAATTTTTAAATTAAAATATTTTATTATTATAATCAGAGTGCATATGTATAATTGAGAGGGCAATTCTTCATAGGGCTCATAGGGTTGCCATAACAACGCTATGTTACTGTCCATTTTATCAGAGAATTGGCCCCTGAATTCGACAGAGTATTACAAAGAAAAATATATCAAGAGTTTAAACTCACATTTTTTTAGAAATAAGCAGATAGAAATCCATGTGCATGGACCACACCAATTAACTCACTAATTAATTAATTATATGAAGGAAAAAATATAACGTATAAGAATTGCTCTTAGGATATACGAGTAAAAATATGCATTCATCTGAAGCATTTGTAGAAAACTAACAAATAGTTTTAACAAAATGTTTTTTACCAATTTGTATATATATATATATATATATATATAAATCTATATTTATCCTTTTGTTTTTATATGATGCTAATGACACGCGTAACTTTTTCTGTTATTGTAAATATGTTATCGTTAAGTCGCACTTCTGATGTCACAAGATGGGTGTGTTTTTTGATCAGTTTATTTCCTATATCATAATTGGTGATTTGTTTGTAAATATTAAAGCAACTTTAATAAACTACAGAGTGATTAAGCGGGATTTCATTTTACAATACAATGAAGATTACAGAATGTTGTAATCTCATACTTGCTGACGCAATGGAAATCTAATGCATATATTATGTACTAGAATCTGTGCACAACAAAGTGAATTTAACTTTGCAAATGTAAATTAAGGACTATGCTATGTAATAAATTTATAAGTTTTCTCTTTGATGTCATAGCATAATAAATTTTAATTTAAAAAACTAATGAACTACATTAATATCACTACCAATAGCAGAGAGGCAGAACAACCACGCTTCATTTTTATATTGCAGTAATGTCTATTAAAGATGATTTTAAATTAAGATTATACTTGAGATCTATTTCCTCAAGTAGAAAAATTAATGTCATATTGCTTGATATCGAGCTGGCCAAAAATGGATTCGAACTCGGAAATAGTTTGCCTTAGTCCTAAAGTTTAGTACCTATTCGAGATCATTTGTTAAAGATTAATGATTACTAAATTCGAAATAAATGAAGTTTAATATGAAAATTGATTGAAAATGTTCAAAATATTTTACTTATATAATTTTTATCTTGTTTGCGTTTTACTTTGATATTAAAAAAAAATAATATCGCAATTTTTTTAATAAGTTATAATTTATATTTATTAACACAGTGTTTTAGATGTGTTTTTACTGTAGACTACTTTAATTTCTTGACATCTTAATGACTTAAAAACCACTTTGAGAAACTACTGTTTCATATTTATGATAGAGCTTCTTCATTTTGCTTTTATTAATTTTATAATCTTACAAAGGTTAAGAACCTTAGATCTTGCAAAGAACTAGAGGTGCACATAATTTATACTAAGATTGTTGATAATGGAGAATAAAGATGGACAAATTTGTTCATAAATTTTAATTCAAAATTTAAGTAAATTAAATTTACATTATTGTAATAAATATGAGGACTTTTGCTAAAAACAAAATAATTAAACAAAAGTAATTATTGAAACTAAAAACTAAAAATAAAAATGTATGTATATGTGCAATAAAGATGTACTATTCTCTGCATTGTGACCAGAAAAAAAAAATTAACAAAGAGAACGATTTACAAAACTTTGGAAAAATTAAAGGCTAAATTCTCAAGACGTTGTCTACATTGTAGTTGAGATTTTTTTACTAATGTCGATATTTTGTTATATGAAATTTCAAGTAAACATCTCTATATATATTTCGTGCTGAATGCATTTAAGAATCTCTCTCTAGCGGTTTGCACTTCTACGAATTCAAACCTCATAATTAATTATCTCACATAGTTTGGCCGTTAGTATCAGGGTTGTGCAAAAATCATACAATTTATAACTTTATGATAGGAAGAAAATTAATTAAGTATTAAATACCAAACAAAAATATTACTATGTTCAAACTATAAATTAGAAGTGCCTACAAAAGGCAATACTCCAGAAACTCTCGCAAAAAGAATTTTGAAACAGACAAAAAATAAGGATTTAGGACGTAAAAATACAAATTTAATATGAATTAATTGCCAACAAGTATGATAAATTTTCTATATTAAAGCCGAAGACTGCAAAATTCTATCTCAACTCGTTCGAAAAATACCTTGGTTCAAAATCAATCAAATCGATCTAAATAATCGTATTTATTTTTATTTCAAGAAATAAGTCTTTCTAGTTTTATGTTCTACTTCCAAAATAACATAACATTTATATGGAGTTATAAATTAAGTCGTAATAAACCAAATGATGCTGCTATATCTATATATATATATATATATATATATAAATATATATATATATATATAATATATATATATATATATATACGAGTATATATATATATATTTATATATTATTTATTAGTGTTTGTTCCATATTTTTTGATATCGAAAAAGCTCGCGCCTGCCAGACCGAGCTTTATCAACGTGACATTTATCGATTAAACAAATGCCAGTTTCATATTTCGATTGAATTTATATGAATAGCTGTTTTTACAATATTTTTAATAATGCTTATTTTCTGATAATTGATGTATTCTAAAATTTGATTTTGTGAAATTTGGCCTGGATTTAAAAATGGCTCCTTTAAGTTGCACTCCCAATTCTGGAAAAAGAGTCAGTAAGCAAAATTTGAAGTGCATACCTGGAACTTACTTACACCACAAGTAATAGATAATATAAATATTATATTTTTATACAAATTAAGTTTAGTGAATAACATAATTTTTATTATATCAGACCTACAGAATGTTATCATTTACTACACGGTCGACCTATACATAGACAGCCAGATTCAGCTCTAGAAGGTAAAGAAGTAATAAGTATTGCTAACCAGGATCATGTAAGAAAATTGCTGGTTCCAAGTACAAAACATAATATTTATCCTGCTGTTTGGCATGCTAAAGAACTGGAAGCTATACGAAAACGAGCCCAGGTAAATTGAAAATGAAAAACAGACACAGAATTTGCTAGAACTAGAAATAATTAATGACTATCAAGTTTGGATTTTTTATATCTTTTTCCCCAGGTTGTCACCTCCAGTGAGATGAAAGAAGCCAAAATCGCAGCCGCGCAAAAAGAGGAGCGTTTACAGAAAGAATTACAAGAACGAAAAACCCTAATGACGCATAGTTTGAAACAACCTAAATGTGGCCCAAATTTGTTCAGTGTGAGTGAAAATTTAATTTTCTTTTACATTAAGTTTATAAGACTACGTTAGTGCGGCAAAAACTTAAGGCGATTTTCTTGATGATCATTTTTTGCGACGTATCCGAAACTCAATCTAAAAGCTAAGAGGGTTATAGACGCGAAAGCAAGACGAATGCTAGACAAGAATTTAATTTAAAATCCTTTGTAAATTGGATGTAATTTAAAAGACTGATGAAATAAATCGATAAAGGTATAGATTAATATAACTGTATGAAGGTTCAAACATGAATATGCCCGGAATACATAATTAAAATGGTAATAATCATATATAGTATTCGACTGATTTGAGTTTTTTATATTAACCATAATTATTTAATTAAAAATGATTTATAGAATTGAAGTAAGTGAATTCATTCTATGATAGTCTATTATATTATTCTCTGATAATATAATAAAATTTCATAAAAAATGCTAGAAGAATTTTCAAACACCTACCTTACAAATCAATCATCTTTTCCTCAGATCCAATCTGAAGCAAAAAGGCGGCATATGCACTTATTGAGACGATCGTTTGAGCTGAAACAAGAACAAGTACGTAAATAAACATAATAAAATATAAAAAATATTGATAAAAAAATTGATGTTTTATTATATTTCATATTTATTTTTTTAGCAACCAGAAGCTAAGGAAATCAACAGAATAATTATATCGACAAAGTGTCAAGCCGTAAGGGATGCTCAAATCGCCGAGAAAGAGGTAGTAAAAGATGTATTTATAGTTATCTAATTCTAAAAACTCTGAGAAAGATCATAAGATCTTAAGTAAATAAGATAAGTAAATCTTAAACATAAAAAAATTCAAACTCATTATTGTTAATTATATTGAAAAAATACAGAAGGAGATTTTCTTCAGACTATGTTGCTTAATACGATTTCTAACACAATTGTATCTCGCATTTTGAAACATATGGTTTTTGTCCATCCTTTTAACAAATGTCTTAACGGGGTTTTACGGCATATATATTATTTATAATTTTTGCAGCATATAGCAAGAGAAAAAATGGAAGAAGAAGCTCGTATTGCAAAAATGGTGGAACAAGATAGACAAAGGGCTCTCATGGAAGAAGAAGAAAAATTAGCAAGGTCTTCACAAAATAAAAAGGTTTTTGTCAGTGCCCTTCATGACCAGCTTAAAGAACTTGAATTAGAACGAATGCTGGAAGCTGAAAGGCTTGAAGAAGAAGGAAGAGCTAATAATCGACTTATGATTGCTATGCAGGTTCCATCAAAATTTTTGTAAATTTTATAAAATTAATGATATAATTTGTTCAAAAAAAATATACAAAATTATTGTAAGAATTGATTTGAATTATGTTGATCATTTGTAGAAAGAAGATATTGAAAAGTTAGAAGAAAAACGAAGAAAACAGCAGCAAACAAGAGACGACTTGAAGAAAGCCAACGACGAATTAGAGCATTATCGAATGATAGAAGTCGAGGAACAGAGAATTGCAGATTTAAAAGTATTAATAATATAATAGGGTATCCCAAAACTCAACGTCACACCTTTTATTATAATTGTCTTATGACTGTTAAAATCAATACTACCACTCCGTTTCAGTTTGACGTTAAGTTCTGGGATACCCTGTATATATAAATACATACAAGTAATATTTATAATTTTATTCAATGTCTTAATATAGTTGGCTGAATACATGCGCAGAAAATTAGAACAACAAAGAATATTTGATCAAGAACGAAAAGCTCAGAAGTTAGCAAAAGCTAAGGAAATATTTAGATTGCAAAAAGCTCAGTCCAGCGCTTTGGAAATGCAAGCCATGCAAGATGAGATCAACGCTCAGAGAGTCCAGGAAGAGGTAATATTATTAAATTTTAATAGATATTTTAAATTAGTCCTTAATAAGAAACTGATAATGATTATCATACCATTGTAAGATCAATCATACCACTCATATTATTATAAGAGGCCTTATAGAGTTGATCATAATCATGAAACAGAATATTTTTTGTCTGTTTTATTTAAAATGAATAGAGGAACCAGAAAAAATGACAATATTTTTAAATCCCTGAGAATTTGAATTTTTATTAAATCAATGGAATATAACTTAGTATAAGTGGTATCTTGCCGTAACCATTTTTGAGAAAACTTTGGCACATATACACAGTCACATTTATGCACACTCACACTTTAGCCAATTTTGGTGGCAACCAATATAGAATACTCACAGTTTCGACTTATAGATTATGATATATTCCGATTGTAATAATGAAAAATTCGATTCAGAATGACTTCTCCTTTGAGAAGTGACAAATAATAGTAGTCGCAGTATTTACCTAAATTTCCCTAATCTAGTCCATATCATTCTTGAGTTAAACCCAGTTGATCCCTAAATTTATCTCCCCTCCTGATCCCTATATCACCATACAAATAAATTAGGTAGATTTTTTCTCCAAAATCTACCTAATGATTAGCAATCGCATTCCAACAAGTAAATAAATGAAGCAGTTAACGAGAATTGCGAACTGAATTTGAAATTAGGTGGAACGTGAATTCCGTCGCAAAGAGCGCGCTAAGGCGCAAAAAGAGGCCGAAGTAGCCAAATCGATGTCGGAGGCTCGCGTTCTCCAAATGGCTGATATACAGAGGCAGCAGGCAACCCAGGCTGCCAGGGAGGAGCAGGAATTCATGAGGCTGCTGGAACATTTGAAGGCTGAGAGAGCGGTAAATATGAAAAAAATCATATGCTCTTGTTTAGTAATTCAGTTCAGAAACCTCTTATCACGATATACAACTTTTTTATAATATATTATATTTATAACTTAGTAGGGGAGACTGGGTACGGTTGTGCCAGGGTACAGTAGTGACAGTTGCCATAATAGCTAAACTACTGATTTTGAGATAAGGTTCAAAGAAAGAAAGATGAAGTATTTTTGTTTGAACAAGTTTCCATGGTTGCATTAAGTCAGCGCCCTACATGAACTTGATCTGTAGACCACATTGATTTTAAAAAGTCAAAAAAAAAGATTTTTTGTTGATTTCTTATGATAGTTGGCTTGAAAGCTTTTTGAATATGAATATGTTTGGATGAAGGTAAAGTTATTGATCTGAATATTAAATTTTCAGAAAGAAGAAGAAAGAGATAGAATCAATAAAGAAAAGCAGACTGCTTATAGAGATGGTAAATATAAATATTTTTTAAAATCAAGATATATTTTATACTTAATATTTTAATTTTTATCGAATCATCAAATATTATATTTGTTTGCTGCACCAAACGCTTATATTTTTTGGAACACATACTATATTGACATAAATAGATATATTACATCGACTTTTTACTTATTAACCAATATATTATAGAAATTGTCAATCAAATAAATCTGAAAGAAAAAATACGTAGAGAGGAAAGAGCTATGAAATTACTTGAAGGAAACGCGCTCAGACTTGAGGATGAAAACCGACTCAAGCATGTTCGAGATTTAACAAAACAGAAAATAGAAAAATTGCGGTAATGATTTATTTTTTAATACATACTAATATATTTAATACTATTTTATAACTTAACTTTACTAATTCTTGTACAGAGAGAGCAGACTTCCAGAAAAATATATAATCGAGATGCAGCGCAAAATTGCTTTGAAATTGGACCCCAAGAAATGAGTTTCGATTTGATATTTGCGACTATTTAAAATACAAAAATTACAACTACTAATTTTTATGAATATTTGACTAAATCGGCCCAAAAATAGCTCATCGGAATGTTAAGATTATAATTGAAAATTGAATAAATTTGAATCTACATTTGAGACAATGATGTTTTAAATGTTTTAATTTTATGATCCCCACACGATAATGAAAATATTAAGCAAGATGCATTGAAATAAATATTGCATGGGATGAATTTATATATGCTGATTACATTTTATCATTTTTGTAGACGACCAATATAAATATCATTAGTTTCAATTTACTGTTTGAGAGGACAAATTACAAAATATTATTATATCAAAAAACGTTTGTCTGACATTTTTATGATCAGTTCATTTAATTAATGATGTGTTTATTAAGCTTCTATTTTGTAAATATTCAGAGATACAAAACAATTTTCATTCGGATTCAGTTCTGGATTCATTGCCCAAATCTTCATCAGGAGTTGATTTTTCAAGAACTTCGGTTACTATTTCTATAGACAAAATATTTTAATCAAATAACTATAAAAAAAAATAGTAATTTTGCTAATACTGAATGATTCAGTTACCCGAAACATGTTCCATTGATGTATTTACAGTTGTGAATGTCTCATTTGGATCAAATTTGAATGATAGTGAACATTTGTAGTATTCTTCGTCCATTTTATAATTTTTTTAAAAATTAATTTATAAATTCAAAATATATGAAAACAATTGAATTGTCATGATGACATAAGGGTCACTTAAATGCACCGATTCAAAATTAATAAATTGAGAATTGTATCAGTATTTAAAAGTTGGATTGATATGAATATTTAGATTGAAAAAAAACACTAATTTACTATTCAAATATTTGTTTCCGTAAATGACTAAAGTTTCATGACATTGGAGTTAATTTCCAAATATTTTTACTGATTGACCGTCAATTTCTCATCATCATCAATATAATTTTAAGCGGATTCAGATTTTATACGTACCAATTAGACTTTGTAAGATAATATTTTCTCGGCTCTTTCATAAATTGTAGCAACAACATCTGGAAAGAATTGTTGAAAATGCTTCCAATTGTTATAACATAAATATACGATTTCTACTTCAGTTTTTGCTCTAAATGAGAAGTAATGTGGAATTCCGCTGTATAAACCCTATAATAAAAATTAACAAAAATTGTATTAAATATAATTATAAAGAGACAATTAAGAGTAAAATTTATAATCCTTAAATCAAAATTTGAGTTGTACAAATATTATGATAATATTAAAATAATTAATTCACCTGAACCACTCCAAATGTGTCCCAGGTTCCCAAAACATCATGTATTGTTTCAGACATATCTTGATGAATTGTTAGAACTTCAATTTCGCCCAAATGAATAAAATACATGCAAAGATCTGCATCGCCACTTTGAACAACGTAATTAGTCGGATAAAAAATGTATCTATTTAGATGAGCACAGAGCTAAAAATAATAATAATAATATATTATTGATGTGCAATGGTTAATAATTTAAATCCTACATTGCTTGAATTTTAATTTACCTGCTTTATAAAATCCATGGAGCATTTCTCGAACACGTAGGAATTTTGAATATGAATCCCATACATTTCATACATCAAATCACATTTCAGACATAAAGGTAAATCATTGTACAATGAAGGCATTTGCCTGCCCTTGTCTTTAATCCACAATCGTCGTACATAGTTCCACATTTTCTTCTGCTTAACTGCACTCAAATTATTATTAGTCATATAATGCTTCAATTCCACGACAGTTCTAGTGTAATTAACTTGCTCCAAAGAATACAAATTCTGAACATATGATATTTCACCAATAAGAGTACCAACAAAAATCTTAGTTGTCACCACAAACATTACAGACAATAACAGTTCCACGGGTATCATAGGCTTGATGTCTCCATGACCAGTCATAGTCATAATGTTGGTCATATGATATAAAGAATGAACGTAGTTTGCAAATGGATGTTCTTCTTTGGCCAAACCTCTTTCTTCACCCCAAAAACCTCGTTTGCATTTTGAACCCATGCAAGGAATGTAAAACCAAAAACAAGCAAAAATGTGCATCAATAAAGTGAACCATACAAGTAACCAACTAAGTTTTAGCAGAAAACTAGCACTTGATAACATTCTTGAATGCACGTTATAAAATTGTATAATGTACACAATCCGAATTAGATGATGCAATCGAAGATATACAAAAAGATCAAGCCCAAAAGGTCCAGGTACTAGCAACGCAAAATAACACAAAGGCAAATTAGCTGCCACATCAATAAGACGTTCTTTGTAATCAGTAAGATACCTCATACGGATAAGTTTAACATCAAGAACGTAATCTCCTAATTTGTTGACATAGGCCATTTGTAAATCTAGTAAAATCTTCAAAATAAATACGAGATCTATGCATATGCTTGGAAGTATATATATTAGAGACAGATCGTGGAAAAAAAATTGATAAGTTATCAGAATTGTGCTAGCATATGATGCTATTAATACCAATGCACTATGAATCTGACATAATATAGAATCTGGTATCAGAGCTATGCGGAAACATTTTCGAGGATTCAGCACGACGTTCCATTTTGGCATACTTTCCATAGTTACAACAGTATTCAAGGTAACTTGAGTACTCCCAGTAATATCAGTATTAGTGGTGAATTTAGAACACAAGCTGACCCTTGTTGCGTCATCGTCAATTATCACTTTAGGCAAAATATAATCCACATCTTTCTTTAACTCGTTATGGATCTTATGCATAATTTTCGGGTAATCTTTAAGAATATTATAAAATATGTCATATTCAATCACCAATACGTCTAAATTATGCAAAGCTTCTATGGTAACAGAACTGGGCTTGGAAGCAAGTGCATTAATTCGACCAAATATTGCACCAGGACCAATTATACAAATCGGCTCATCATTACTATTTTTAACTTGTACTTTACCCCGATGTAGTATGTATATATTGCGAGTAATATAGTTACAACGAACAATCTCTTCTCCTTTAACATAATGCCTGTTTGCTAAATGCAAGGCAATAATTCGGAAAAATGATTTTTCTACCAATGAAAACAAAGGTACAATTTGTAAAGTTTCCTCGAACATACTATGCACAGCATCTTCCATTAGCGTGGTATGTATATCATTCAGGACCTCCATAGGTTCAATTCCTCCAGTTCTTTTGTATCGTTGTAAAAAGTGCTTATGTATCAATTTTCGTAGATCCGGTGAAACATTTTGACGTTTCATGAAACTTGTTATATTGCACAGTTTTTCTTGAAATGTTACTAAAGTACGATGTTGAGTGGAAATGCTACTGGCGATGTAAGCGCATGCAAAGGCAATCAGAAGTTGGCCCACAAGAATGCTAAGAATGCAATGCATTATATGAACAGGTTTATGCGGAGTAATATCACCAAATCCGTAGCCTATTATTTGGGAACTTGTCCAATAAAAAGCCGTCAAGTAAACTTCTAAAGCTTCAGTTTGATTGGCAAAAACGGATCGGACATGCCAAGAACCTTCCAGACATTTCATATGTATCTCATCTGCACGTTTTAAATAAGGTTGACAAGTGGTATTCACAAATATACATGACCAAATATTGCTAGCAACTAATGTAATTACGATAAATTCAATAATGATATAAATTCTATCAGATTTTAATATATCACTTAATAGGTACGACATCGCCCCGTGAATTCTGTAAACTTGTCCAATTCGTATAAGACGAATCATGTTCAACCACCATTCGACTTCCTTATAATCATCTAAAGGAAGAGCACGATTTATTTTATTTATTGGAATACATAATATGATGTCTAGAATAAATAGCGTAGATACATATCTTTTAGCTGTTTTCATGGGATGTATTATGAGCTGGCCTTGTTTACCATAGTATCCAATAAACATGCTTACGTACAAATCAATATAAGCTATCGCATCCGATACAATTATTATTAAGTTAACAAAGTTATTCGTATATGGTGTAATTGTAATATCAAATGGCAACAACATTGCAATGCAAAAAGCTGCCAATATCCTGAAGAAACACCATATCTTCAATAATAGACCTTGCGGTGTGATGCAAATAGGCAATAAAATATACTTAAATATATTGTTATCACCTTCAAAACCTTTATTATAATTTTCATGCCTTCGACGGCAATATTTCTTTACATTTATCAGAGAATTAGCAAAGAGATTCTTTATTCGCATAATGTTACTATTGACGATCTTTGCTTTGGATAATACTTGAGATTCTTTTTTATACGTTTTATAAGTTTTTGCCAAAATGTTATCAAATGAAAGCTGTTCATGCTCTAAGTATTTTGGAAACATATCAGTGGCTTTAAAAAATATGTAGCTGCTGATGCTAAGAATTTTACAATGTGTCAATGTTCTTACCGTTAAAATACTTGGATGTCCGTACAACAAGCACTCGACACAAAAGTGGGCTCCAGGATGTAAAGTTCTTATAGCAGTATTATTTTCAATAATCTCACAATAACCTTGATGAATAATATATAGTTGGCGATTTACAAGTCCTGCATAAACGACATACTCGCCTGGTGGAAGTGTATCCATTCTTGATCCTGATGCCAATGTAGCGATAAAATCATCGTTTGTAGAACTAAACAGCGGAACTTTTTTTAAAGTTTTTTTCCTTTCTGCTGCTAGTACATCTTGTCTCATAAAAGATACTGCTTTTTGCAATAATTGATGCTTTTGAGCGGTTCTAAATCCTCCACTATGATACCATTGTAGTACGTAACAGGCTAGAAGCCGATTTTTCACCGCGTTTGTGACATCACTTTGGGAAACATATCTTAGAAGCATATTAAATCGTTCTTTGAAAGCTGACTGTAACTGGAATCTAAACGTTATAAATTCTGATAGATCTGAAATGCAGTAATTGAATAGTATTATGCCTAACAGTCTAGCAATCCAAATGAAAATAGTATCTATTATATCAGTTGGATAAAGGTCTCCATAACCAGCACCTGATACCGTGCTAAATCCAAAATAAATAGACATAATTTCTTTATGTTTAACAAAAGAAACCCCCATATGATTTGTGACTTCCATAATCTGTTGTTGTACATACCAAGAAGTTTTTCGACATGGTAAAGCGAAACAGGATTCTATGTATAAAATTACTCCCATCCAGTAAGAAAGCAGAAGCAAGAAAAGAGTATATTTGCAAATGCGTATTATAAATATTCTTCCAAAGAAATTATTCTCCATGTCTGTAAAATATTTCCACATTTTCCAAACTTTGACGAATCTGTTAAATTTGAGATAGTAATAAATTTGATAATTATGCCGGTAATCTTCGATGAAAGACGAAAACTGTTCAATCGGCATAACCGATATAAAATCCAAGTAGAACGGCAATCTATTCAATCTATAGTGATAAATGGCTTTGAATGTTATCACATTTTTGTTTTTATGAATAATAGCCGTAGTCAATAATACATAGATATCAATATAATAAATGATATCAGTCAATGCTAAGTAAACTTGAAACCAATTAGGATATGATCTATCAAAAGCAACATAATAAGGGTATACTATTGATAACAACAATATTGTACAAAAGACAATTGTGCGCCATAGAGAATCTAATTTTGTGCGTGGGTTGATTATGAATGGGTACGATGGGTTTGGAATGCATATGAGATCTTTTTCGGGAATGATGGTATCACTTTGGTAAATATTGTAGAGACCAAGAATATACTTGAGCGTCAATTCATTGTCATGCGCCTTGAGAAGAGTGTTGAAGTCCGATACTAGAAAAAAATAGATATATATATATATATATATATATATATATATTGCATAAATAATCTTACCTGGTTTGGCTTTAAGCAGCTTTTTTATCTGTTTGATAGCAGTAATTTCTGTTTCTTGGGTCACAAAAAGATTAAAAATGTTTTTCTTCTTTGGCCGATATATATCTTTTTTATGCGCCCTTTCAATCCGATCTTGAATATTCAACCTAATTCTCTTCTGTATTTCCGGATACTCCTTAACAGCTCTAAAAAAGTCCAACTTGTGCAAGGTCAACACCTCTAAATAAGTGGCAGCTCTTATAGAAGATTTTGCAGGCAAGGTGTACACCATTCCAATTTCACTTATACAAGTCCCATAATCAAACGAAATGATTGGACTTTCATTGTCTTCATCTGACAAAATGTGGACAACTCCGGAAAGAATTATGATCATCATGTATTTGGCAACGTGCTGGTGGCTGAGAATGTCTCCTGGTAGATAAAATACTGGCTTCATACTCATAGATAATTTACGAAGAAAATAGTCTGGCAAAAATCGAAATAGTAAAGTGGATTTAAAAGGTCCCATGCACATGTCGTGAAAGAGTTCCATACGTAATGATATGGGTAACAGATCTATGCTTGGAACTCGCTTTATTCCTTTTTTATAATGCCACAGTTCGATATAATACCTAGTGAATAGAATTATAAACTAAATATTTATGCAAATAGAAATAGAAATATTTTAAATGATTTTTTTTTTAATTTTTCATTCACCTTATAACCTTGTTCTTGACTTTTTCTTCGCAATTGATATCCGTCAAATAATCCCTGATGGCAATGAGGTCCGCCCTATACAACTCCAGTCGTTCTGCATCGTTCACCATCACCGATGATAGAGTTCCAATAAAGTATAAAACAGCAAAGCAAAATCCAGCTATCATCACAAATGAAGTAACAGCCAATTCTATCACAGTTACTGCAGTAACATCCCCTAAACCCAAACCAGTTACCAACATCACTGAAAAGTGGACTGAGTAAATGTACATGTCAATAGCTGTCGGGTTTTCATTTTTTCTGTACTGTTCCAAGGTATGAAACCAGCATCCTTGTGGGGAAGATATTTCATTTTTTGCAATTGCATATAATACGACTCCTACAGTATGGACGAATATGGTCAAATAGAGAATATAGGGCACTAAGAGGTTCACCCATCTATTAACTCCTATATCTTGAGATTGTTCAATAAAGTATATGGGCAGATAATAAATTTGTAGAACGGCGATGTAATTCATTTCCCATATAATGCTTATGCTTTTGAATAAGCAGATTACTGGTAATAGTAAGGCAGAACAAAGTATTCCATCAATCACTAGGCGAATGAAAGATTTTGGTTTAACGCCAGTTCGAATTTGTACTTCTTTCCAATTATATATTGTCATTGATAGGCACCAATTGAAGAGAAATATTAGATCACAGAAAGGCAGATGTAGAGTACATTAGATCCAGCATCTGAAATAAATAAAATATAAGATATTAGTCATGTACTAATCATCTACTAATCATATCTATTTAAGATTATACCACTAATCACAAAATGTTCGTTATATTTTTATCATTAACCAAATCTTTGTCAAAGTATTAAATACATATATAAGTATGTATAAACGATTCCTTTTACCACTGTACTAATCTTCTTATCTCCTGGCTCCTTTAAGGGCAATCAAACTCTTAGCAACGTCTTTGCAACCGGGTTCCTGGCCATTTTCTTGTGTGAGTAAATGTGGGTGGGAAAGGTAATAGTGGGGTAGTTGATCAGCATTATATTCAAAATAGGAATTTAGCATTTTATTTGGTTTAAAAAATTGAATATTATATTATTAATAATTGAAATGATTTTCCTAACATTTTTTTTGGTTTAAGAACAATAGGCTTGAAAATGTAAAACTAATGTATTTGAATAAATAATCTTATTTTCTCTCTATATATAAAATTAAGATGAAATGTAAATATACGCTTGTAAAAATAAGTGTTCAAAAAATTTGACTGAAAGTGCACAATTTTTTTTACTCCTGGTACCATTACTTGGATTTTGGGTGCTACAATATAACACTTGAGTGTATTTATATATTATTCAAGTATTAGAAAAATAATTTTCTACTAGCCGTCGCATTAAATTGGGAAAGGAAAAGTGATTACTATCGTTACACAGATCTTCTTCCCATAAAACCTCTAGGTTCGAGAAAATGTAAAGATGAATGAATCGTTATTGGGAAACCAGAAGATGTATAAAGGCCCGGGACGTCCTAACCTTTCCTTCGTTATCTCATTATGCTTTATTACAGCCCATGAATTAATACGGTTTAATTACGAGAGTTATTAATGTAGATATTGTATTCGAGATTCGGAAGATATTGTAATCATTATTTTGCTTTGGATTATAAACGAACAAAAAATTACTTCGTTATTTTTGTTAAAAGGTCCGACCGAGATCTGAAGGAATTTTTGATCACGCAAAGAAAAAACTGGGTCAGTAAGGTGAAAGAAGTTGTTAAAACTCAGGTGGAAATATAATACTTGTTCATCATCAGCTCAAGTTACTAGCTCATTATTTAGCACAATTAACTTTGATCGATATTACAACGCAATTAATTTCAGAGTGTTAAAATTATATTATTTGCAATTTCAATAAACTTACCCTGAGTGGTAAAAACGATGCTTGTGACACTGAAGAAATTAACCGTGATGCACATGATGACGAAAATGTTCCACAAAATTGTTTTTTGTAGGCTTAAAATTGCGAACTTAATTGAGGTCCAAGTTATTCTGGGTCTTTGAACGGTATTGCCTGCTATAAAACATGTTTCAGCTGACAAACGATCGTCTCGGGTTGCCATGATTGATGTCCAACCCTGAAAAACGATAATTAATAAAATCTATAGATCGTCATTAATTAATTATATTCATAGAACAGTCTAGTTGTATGATTATTATAAAGTTTAACTTTAAATATATTTTAAGATTTAAAAATTTGCACTAGTACCCAAAATATATAAGGATTTAAGGTCTGTAGATAAAAAGGTCCACCACCGATATCTCAAAAACAAATATAGTTAGGAGCTTTTTAACAACACAATTTGAATGTTGAGGGTAAAAGATGTATCACCAATCATCACCAACTCTGCTGATAAATATTTTAGATAAAATACCAGATCAAGGTTATATACAGTGTTATTTCTGTAAATAATGTACCCATGAAATTCATATTTTGCATTGGTTGATTAATTTACCTATTATTTCGTAAAATCCCTTTGAAATTAAAAATAATATATTGAACCTATTTGCCCCTTAGTCGTTCCATGTTACCCCGTTTATGGGGTAAAAAGGACCAGGTAAACATTTTTTGGAAAGCAGCAAAAAACAAATTTCTAGAATGATTTCTAGATAGAATGAACATAGTCAGAAAGTTGCTCAAAGTCAACTATCTGACTATGGTCAAGTTGGACTTTTGTGCCCCGCTTTACGCTATATATTTCTAAATTTGTGTGTGTGTTTGTGAATACAATATGATTAAATATAAATTTTTTATTATAAATGCATGAGTAAATAATTTAGCTCACCTTTTTCCCATACTGTTTTCGTATAGCAACAGGAATCCGAAATGGCATTTGCGAATGATCCTGTTTCGCGTGCGGAGAAGATATTTCATATGATGTAAATTTCTTCTTGGAAGACATTTCGGGTAATGGTTTGTTGTCAGCTTTCCTTAATCTATGTTATGTGTCGTAGGAATTTAGTTTCATAAATAAAAAATAGCGGCTAAAATATTATGACTGACGTTCAAGTATAAATGCCAAAACAAAAGCAAGTTATAAATTGCTCACAAAAAATCACTTAATTAATCATGCAAATATGTATTCCAATACCAATTGGACAACCATAAGGGTCATTAGACCAAAAAATACTATTAGGATCAATGTAATTGGCAAGGTATTTGTCTAAAATTTTGTTCAGAAATTTCTTCAGCAAATGCTCGTCCTTTATCACATTTATTTAATTATACAATGTAAATATAAATGGTTTGTGTATATTATAATTCCTTCCTAACAACTCTTTGTTCAAAATATTCGAGCACGTGAAATACAATATTACACATTCCGCTTGATATTAATCCAGAGTGTACTATGCTGCTTCATATGGACCACATTTCACAAATCTCTCTTGTAATGTTTTATTAATGTAGATAAATTACATAGTAACAGATATTACTTCGCAATATTATGAAATTACATGCTGTAAGTAAATATATACCCCACATCACAGTATAGTATAATATTTAATTCAAATTTAATAAATATATTTTGAGATAGTTAAATTCATCTATTCATTGCAGTCTACTTTTCAAATCTTAATATTTTTATTATTAAATCATTACTTGTAAGCCTGTAATATTTTAAAATGTTCGGCTTGACTATCTACTCTATCACCATGCAAGGTTCATCAAAATCCCAGAAGAGTAAACCTGAGGTTCTCCTTGTGAGAGATTTTTTTAAATTTTGTAATCATTTTTATTTACGATTTTTAAAATATTTTTTCTAAATTTCTTTCGACAAACGCAAGGATATTCAAATCAAATAATCACGTATAAAATATTGAAATTTTTAATTTAAAACTAATACAAATGACTGATTTTCAATGTAAATCAATATTTGTATTTATTTATTTATCAAAGGTATTTTCCTCGCTGGAGATTAAAATTATTGCATATTTTATATCTATATATAAAATGAATCCATATTAAAATAACGCAGTGTTCCGAAGGTAACAAAAAAACTTCAATTGAAGTTCTTTAATTAAATTTTCTCTCTCTAAGTCTCAAGTATTTCGCAATTCAATTTTGGTCTTAAAACCGCCGAATATGAAGAACAAATATAAACTTGACAAAATAATTATGGTAAGAACAATATTTCTCGAAGTTGGTGGGATGGTCCTCTAAGTTAATTTAGGCAAAACGTCATTAGCAAGAAAACAAACTTTGCTTATATCGAGTTGTACTGGCACTACATAAATCTTGAAGTGGGTTGTGAGGAATTTGGGGGTAATAAATATTCGTCCTAAACCGAGAAACACGAATAAAATTTATATTATACATGCACACACATACTCATACATATATATGTATATATACATACATGTATACATATATAAATAATGTGAAAACCAAATAATTTATACAGAAACAAATAACGCATGTCTAACAAACAACTATCTGCCTATGTTCAGTAAAACTCCTACCTAATTCGACATTGTAGACAAGTATTTTTTGCTGTTTTCCAAAAAATTGTCACCTTGTCCTTTTTACCTCATAGACGGGGTAAAATAGGACGACCAGGAAGCACCAGGTTTAATTTTTTGAGAGAACTAAGCGTCCAATTTAAATGATTAAAATAACTTTCAGCTTGTTTTAACAAAATAATTGATTTTGGAAAAAAAATGTATCATTTTTTTTGTATATCGAAAATAATTCAGATTTTATTTTTAATTCTGACTATAGTTCTAATATACTTTAAACAAATAATTTCAACTTTGCAATTCTGTTTATGTAATTCTTATAAATATTAGACAATGTTACAATATTAATAATAATCTATTTGAAAACATTCAGTATTCTTCGAACATTTCGTTACGGTACGGGAAGTTCCAGCAATTTGCCTTAATGCACGATGCCATACACTCCACTAGTTTATCTTGCAAAAATACATTTTCTCGAACGTGTCACAACTCTAAATTCACAAAGCATTATACATTATAATAATAAGAGATTCAAATCTATAGAAACCACCATCTGAACGGGTGGTAAAGCTCCTGTTTCACCGTTTTCCACCCCTGTTTCGATTTTCCAGGGCGCTCGTCCCTGGATTCGCTCGCGGTCGTGAAAATTCGTGGAAATGGAAAGTGAAGTTCCCTAGCTGTTGCTTCTGACGATTTTCCGCACATTGGCTCAACGTGCGCTACGCTGAGCGGTCGTTCCCGGGTAATACGCTATCAGATCTCGCAGCGCATACACTTGTTGCATATGTTTAAGGAAAACTCATTTATATAATAAAAATTGTATAAAAATATTTAATTTATTGCAAATTGCGGTTACAACAAGCTTAATTAGTATTGTTAATTGATTAATTAATATACTATAAGATAGTAATTAATAATAATTAATAACATTATGGTTTGAAGTTACATGTGGTGTTAATCCAGTGAGAGTACATAAATTTACAATAAAAATTAATTTAATATTAAAAACCAACCAATTTATTATTTTGCTCAAATAATCAAGTATAGTAATATTTTTTAAATTAGTGTAGTGACAAAAAACTTGAGGACTAAAATCAGGTAGCAAAAGTCTGCGTTGTCAACTAAAATTGATCAACTATTATTGCAGTTGTGTCTAGAAAAGTTTAAACCAATTTCAAATAGTGAAAACACATAAGTCCTTTACCCCCGTCAAAGTTTTCTTCCTATTGTGTGCAATAAACTTTACTTTTATTCTTCTCAACCTTACCATGGAGGTGAACAGCCCCGGGTCAACGTACGCGAGTCGACAATCATCCCCAAAACCTATAACCCCTCGTAGCCCTAGACACTTTGTGTTTCCACAAAAAGCCCCAAAGAGCCCAGGCATTGGCCCCAAGTCTCCCAAAAGCCCCAATTGTAATGGCATTACACACAGTGCTTCGCATTGCGGAATTGAGAGAATAGGAAATCGTTCTCCGAAATCGCCGATTAGATTTGACTTCGAGAAACCAGCTTATAATGAATCGCCGAAATCGCCTCAGTGTGTGTTGAAGCATTCTTCGTCCAGAAATTCTATGACACCCAAAACACACATAACGACAAATCCGGGCTACCAAATTATGAACAGTGAGGATTTGATTGCTGCTAAAATTAGGAATAGAGTCACTCGTATGAGTTCTGGAAGTACTTCAGTGTATTCTGATATTACATTCACGGAATCTAATTCTGGATCCAATATGGGCAGTTTTAGAAGATGTAGGAAGTCTACGAGTGATTTGACAGATTTTGCTGAAACTACTACGTCCATCCAAAGTAGCGAGGGACGACCTAGGAAACGTAGAGGAAGTAGTAAAGGTGGTTTGGCATATTTGGCTAATAGAAGAAATTCCAGAGATTCAGCAAAAAGTCATAATGGATCAACAACTTCCATATTTTCTAATGAAGATGTTGGCCCCCTGGCTTTCCAGAAGTCCGAAAGAGGAAGGCAACGGAGAACATCCAACTTTTTAGAATTACCAGGTAAGAAACCAAACATTTGCTAATTCTAAAATCCGTCAAAATATACAATTTCGTACAATATTTCGAAGCGTATCGTATTATGTTTGTATGAAACAGTTCCATCTTCTCATATTTGTATTATATAAGAGAGAACAATATTTACCTTTAATCTACAACAGGAACAAGAAAATATAAACATGGGGGAGAATTATAAGTATATATCTGAAAGGAAAAAAACTTCATATTGATGAAGAAAAAAAATCTTAGGAAAAACTAGAGAAACTCAAAGAAATTTTTGAGCCATTATTAAAACTAGTAAAATGCACTACATTTTTGTATATATGATGTAATTTTATAATGAACCCTTAAAGGTTAGCAGATATAACGTTATCAAAGTAATATTATTTTTAAAACTTTTAATCCGCTATATCTTTCTTATGAAAATATGTTAAACTTTGGTGTTTGATATTATAATAAGGAAATAAAATTTTTAAGTTTATTATATAGAATATGATATGCACGTGCATTTAAGTTATTTATATTCATTCGGATATTTAAATTACATCAAAATTTAATTTTAATAATTATGTAATTTTAATATTAATTTATAATTATAAGTGCAAATTTAAATAATCAGGAAGGGGACAATTAAATAACAATGTGCAGCTAGTAGAATATCATTCTGAATAGAACCGTTTTCTATTCGAATAATTCATTTGCCAGAGAGGTGTAAAATTTGTAATATTATTGAATATTACTAGATATTGATACATATTACATAGAAATATTTCTATAGAAATAATTCAAAATATCAATGACTACATTTTAAATTAAAACTAAATTATCAATAACCAAGTAATGTTCTATTCAAAAAAATTGGAAAAAGTTAGTAAACTCTATCAAAATTATAACAGAGCAAATAAAAATGATACGAAGAAAATATTTGGCTCATGTCTAATTAAATGTCGAAATTTTATACAAAAAATATAGGCTCATTATTTGGACCTACAAAATAATAAATGATATTAAAGCCAAGGGCATATCGTTATTAAAACTTACAACTCTATTCATTTTAATCATCCTAAGGACGAACTTCTATAATTTATCTTTGCAAAGTTGAGATATCAAACAGTAGGTACCAGGTAAACGTAGATTAAAGTTAGCAGCAAGTAACATAATTGCTGCAAAATCTATATTTTACTGTGACAAAGCTCACATTACTCAATATAACTTCATCTCCAGAAATATTTCAATTATTTCCCGTTTTACAGTCCAATATTATTTGCCCGAAATATATTGTCTTTGCATTCCGCCGACTTGTCCGACTATAAAATTCCTGAATCGCTACTATGGCATTCTTCTACCTCAGGAAAAGAAAACTCTCATAATCCAAACGAGTAATAAATCCCCAAGAGTATTTTTGTGGGTTTTGTTAGCGTTGGTAAGGAATCGCCCGCATAAATTTGCATGATATTTTTATATCGCATATGCCTCGAAAATTTTATGTACTCGTTTACACAGATATGTATTAAAATATTTATTATACTTTTCACGATTTTTCTGAAGAAAACGTGAAAAACCGACGAGGAGGAAGATGAGTGGTTATATATTCCATGTTTATTATTCTTGTTATAATCAATGTTATTCTAATGTTAAAATATTTTTTGATGAAAATCATTATAATGCAAGAGTTATTAACTATTAATTATAAATTTCGGTAACATTATTAAAAATCAGTTAAGTACCCTTCTCAAATTATATTTCTGGATTAGGGTATAATATAGAGAGTCTATAGCCAATTCATCAGATGGGACATATGTCCCAAATTAAAAATTTGAACTACGTAATCAATAATGCGGATTTTTTCATCGCAACAAATACGTCACATATATGTAGCATCCGCCCAAATAAAATATAATCAAATTTAAATAGACAAAACTGAACGATGTAGAACTACATTGATGATATGACCACCTTAAGTACCTTACCTGCTGGAATAAAACTGTCTTTTAATCATTTTTTTTATTCTATATGTATATAGAAAAAAGCAATTTGCAAGATATCGAAACGACTACGTAATATCAACGTAACAAAATTGAATTTATACACAATGCTCAGAAAACGAATATGCCAGGAATGATATTGCAACGTATTCAAATGCAATTGAATATGCGGATAGCAAATGTAATGAAGCCAATACTGTTGTGGGTTATCGAGATGATATATTGAAAAGAAAATGAATTATATTATGGAATGAATATTAAGAAACTACGCAGTTTTTCAATAGAAATTGAAAAATATTAATAAAGTAAGTCGGATGATGAAATATTGAAAATGCAAATAATTTGATGAAGCAATAAGGGAAATCATCATTCGTTCGAGAACAGAAACATAATATAGAATTTATTACAAAACATAATTAAAACCATGACTGTCACTTTGGTAAGAACATTTTTTATAATTTCGTTCGAGCGTCCTTCCATTAATGGTAGGAAATATAAGGAATCTCGCCCGTAAAAAATAAGCTACGACATTACGGAACATTAGCCCCGTTAAAAATGATAGTAAAACGAATTGTAGCGTGTCACAAATGGCTACGCTCGCAAATATTACACAAATAAATGATTTTGTTCGGAGTCACGGTGACATAAATAAAGAGTAATAATTTTTATAACAAGACATGAAATACTCTACATTATATAGGGCCATTCGTAATATTAAAGGAAATATAAACGGGGGTAGTAGTCACAGGCGTTCTTCAATAGGATCTTGAACGATATTAGATATAAAATATGAAATTTTCTCCCCTGCCCATTCTCGTGAAACATTTGAATAACAAATATAAATGTCACTAATTGAACATACATGTTTCATGATATTCAAAATTGTAAAAAATTTATGCTTAATATTTGTAATTCATCCCCAAGAATGGGATTTTTAACCTTTTTCTCATCACAATATAATGGTTCTAAATCTGCGCATTGAAACTTGTCTTTTACCCAATCCTCCTCTGGTTTAATTAGAATTTTTTGATACCATTCATTAGCTTTGTAAACAGAGGTTTTAGAATCCAAAAATTATTATTTAAATTAAAATTCACCTTTAAGGGGTTTCACTGATATAATAACATAAGGTCAGAGGAGATTAAAAATATCTATAATTATTCATGAGGAAATGAAGACTACCCAGAATAAATAATGAGGCAAATACATCGCCAAACAACCCAAGTTGACATTTTGATTTTCATGCAAATTCTAAACGCATATATAAATTGTATGAGGATATAACTAAATTATTATATGTAGGGGTTTAAAGGACCGCGGGTATAAAGGTTCACTAGTGATATCACAAAAATAAGTGAAGTTATAAAATTTTTATAATAATATTCGAAAATAGAGGAAAACATATTTATAACCACCTGATGTTGAAAATCTATAGCAAAAGTATTTTCTTCCGTTAGATTTTTGGTTATTTAGTTTGTATATTTCCTAGAACGTTGTAAATTTACAAACCCAATCGAAAAGCTCTACTTCTATTTTGCAAAAGTTTGTTTTCAGCGTCCAAGGCAAATCACAAAGCCAGTAAACAACTTTGCATACTGTGTGTTTGACTTGTCTGAAAACTTTTGCGGGGATATATCAACCATTACCAGAGACTCTTTCATTTCATTATTTACTTATTGACAAAGATATCAGTAAACAAAACTTTTTTAGATTAAATTTCAAAAATAAAGTTGCATTAATGAATACTTGTGAAGAGCTTTGATTCTTTCAATGTGTAGGGTATGAAAGGAATTTATGAGTTGATAGCACTATTGATTTTTAGAAGCAACAGGTGTTTGTCTATAGATATAGATGATTTTATGAAATAAATATACAGCGTAATCGTATGTGAGAAAGCAAATTTATATACTATTTTAATCACTCATAAATTAATATATTGATTTCTTAGCAATTAGTACATATGTCAGGAAGTTCATGTAGTCGTCTCCAGATAAGATGGAAATTATATATAGTTTGTAAATTAATTTGTAACGTTAATTGAATTAATTGATGCAGTGTTTATTCATTTATTTACATTATTAACTATCCGTAGGACATGTTATGGTAATCGCAAAAAAATTAAAATTAAAATGTTTGCATATATATATACGTTTCAAGCCCTTCTAAACATTTTGAGCTACCTAATTTATTAATGTATTATGTATGGATATAAAATCTAGGGCAAGTTATCATAATCCCAATAAAATTGATATTAAAATTTTTGTATATATCCACATTTCAAGCCCTTTAGAACATTTTGACATGCCTTGTGTATGTCTATGTATGTATGTGCGTATACAAAGTTTCATCGATGACTTCAAAAGTATGAATTAACCGATTGGAATGATTCAAAAAAACTTATAATTTCTATTCATCGATCAATTTTTCTTAATTACTTTATTTTTTTGGTGTTCAATTTCTCTTTAAACCTAATTAATCAATCCTTTATCAATCTTCTCATTGCAAAGTTTGTTCAGATAACTCATTGGAATCCGGTATCGGATGCCCTACGGCATTTGCTAGCATTTAATTCCCTTGTGATATGTTGTCGATATAATTGTGCATTTGACATCATGTGTCCTGTTTGACAAATGTCGTTTATTGACATTTCAAATACCGCGGAAACTACATACAAGGTAAAACCTGCAAGTGCACAACCAGGAAGCAAATATAACTAGGCAATCGAGTTTATTTTTATAAAAAATATTGGAAAATCGATTGAACTTTTTTAAAAGTGCGGTTGACATTGTGGGCGATATTAGAGCTTTTGAAAAATACTAGAGATTTACTTTTTCTCGTAGCAACATTGGTTTTATTAACGTTATTGAAAATTGTGGAGCGCTTATCGTAAGTGCTCGTAAAATGAGTTTGCTCCCGTCCAGATTGTGTCTTTCAAAGTGAACAAGTTTTGTAATAAAACGTCTAATATCTGCAGGACCGCATTTAAAAGATATTTTAGCTATTTATATAATAAAATAC